ACAGCACATATAACAAAACGGCAACCCCTGTGCCACACAGGCAGCAGCTCTCGGACACATTATGGCTGTTTTTACACTCCCTTCTTTGAAAGGCTCTCCATAATTAGTGGCACCCACATAGGAGAAACATGCTTTGGGGAAGACAAAGGAGCCTCTGCTGTCCTTACCTGTGGAAGGAAGATATCAGTGCTTATGTAACTGACTTGGGGACTCACGACGCCCGAGGAAAGCAACGTTTCTAGAGCCGGGTCCATTTTCATTTGCTAACACCTTACCAAGCTAAGGAAATCTGCGAGAGAAGCAAACCCTAACCTGTCCACGTAGCTAAGGTAGCACAGGCCAGCTGCACCACTCTCACAACTACTACCACCAAACGGCTTCCTCATGCACACACCCTGGGAGGGTGGCTATAAATGGACTACTCCCCAACATCTCCTCTGCACACCCATTTCTCCACCTGGGAAACAGGAGGTCATCCTGGCTGGAGCCAACCACTTCCAACTTCTGTGTTTGAGACAGGGTTTCACCATGTAGTCTTGGTCAGCCTGGAACTTGCTAGGATAGACCAGATTGGCATTAAATTCCTTAGATCCTGCTCTGCCTCCTGAGTGCTGGTATTAAAGGTATGAGCCACCATGCTTCCAGCTCAGGGCTTCCAACTGCTTCAATTTTAAATGCATCTAAGTCTGACCACTCCAAGGAGTTTTGGGGCCAAGACAACAGCTCAACCTTGCTCCTACTCTAGATACCAAAGGTATCTGGTACATGGAGCATAAGAAATCTAAGCACAGTATGAACACCACCATAGCTGCCACATGCCTCTGCTCACAAGGTGCTACTACTATGGTTTTACAGACAACATACAAAAGCCAAAAGAAAAACAACAATTTAATTAAGTTCCCAGAGCCCACTGATTGCAGAGACGAACACAAAGCCAGCAAAGGATTCCCATCCTTGAGAAGCAAGCCTAACAGCATTACTTCTATCAACGGGTTGGGCTAGAACACTCTCACATGTGAGATACAACCAGAGTACTATATATCCTCCAGAGGGAGAAGGTCAAAATCCATGTCAGCTCAAGACATGTTTACCTGACCCAGAGGAAGAGTGTTCTTACAGCAACATACCAAGTGCCCTTACTCCTATTGCCTACCACTCTTTCACACAATCCACTCCAGGCCCTGGGCCTTGCACAAGAACTCTTCCTCCAGATGGCCAGAGTCCACTACCAAACTTGCTGTGCGTGATGCTGGGGGCCGGGGGAGGGCACTCATCAGGACTTTTCTATCCCCCCCCCCCCTTTTTTTGAGACAGGGTTTCTCTGTAACTTTGGAGCCTGTTCTGGAACTAGCTCTTACAGACCAGGCTGGCCTCAAACTCACAGAGATCCACCTGCCTCTGCCTGCGTGCTGAGATTAAAGGCGTGTGCCACCACTGCCCAGCCCTTTTCTAACTCTCTACATTAAAACTCCCTTCCCCATCCCTCTCTGGTTTACTCTCTCCACCGTGTCTCTGTCTACCTGACATGTCACAATGTCATCATACTGGTACCCCCTCTTGAGATCAAGTCTTTCACTGGCCACATCTTGTGCCTGCCTTGTTGCTGCAGAGGGGAAGGCATCCGGTCACAACTCTGCCCCAACAGCTCCAGACTGTTTTGTGACAGCCATGCTGCACACTAGAAGATAAACATGAGCTTCCCTCCAGACATCAGTTCACCAACTACAACAGCTTGTAGGGAGTGAGTAAAATATGCAGAAAAGAGGGAAGAAAGCTAAAGAAAAGTTAAAGGCAATGGGCCAGATCAGCCCTGGAAGATTTGACAGCCCCAGTCAGACCTGAGGTGATGCCAAGGAACTCGTCTTCTCCACCAGACACCAGGATCCTAGGGATGGCTAAGTCTCATCCCAAGGACAACATGTCTAGCTGAACTTTAGGAGGATAAAAGAATTCCTTCAATCCACTTGAGACTTCTCTCACAACGGCAAGCACGTTGCCTGCTGTGGTTGAGTAAAAAGGGATGTGCACTAAGATAAGCCTCACAGCAACCACAAAGCAGCTGCGGGAGACAGGGAAGGAGGGGTTGTGGAAATCTACTTGGCCTTTAAGGACTTAAATGTGTAGCTTACAATCCCACCTCCTCCCTCAGGCCGCAGCTCTCAGCAATCACTGAATTATCCTCAGTGGCACCACAGAGGCCTTCAAGGCCTCACTCATGCTGTGCTCTGGCGGAGGTCACGGAATGCTTAACATGGCACTAAGTCAGCCCTTATTGGCATTTATAACATCACTGAGGTTGAGGCTGGGGGTGCAGCCCAATAGTTGAAATGTTTGGCTACCTGCAAGGTCCTGGGGTTCATCTCTGGCATTCAAGACTGAGGGGTGAGGGGGGTTCTGGTCACCTTCCTTCCTTTCCTGTCTCTCTGGACCCATTCTAAACCAGCAGAAACGGATACCTGTGTTAAAACTTGCATCATCAGGAGTATTCACCCAGCTCACACCTGAGTCACTCACATCCCTTCCTCTCAGTCACTCAGCCAAACGGTCTGAGCCAGATATTGAGAAGGAAACAGAAAAACTGAGCATGGGCACAAAGACTTCCACCACTAGCAGCAAGAGAAAACCAGAGTTGAGAAATAGGGGCTTTCTCCTCTCGTCTTGGGACTCCATGGCTTTCCTGTCTTTGAAGATCCTCTTCCTCCAATCTTAAAAGGCAATCTCTTCTGTTCACCATTCCTTCAAAATGGATTCTATTCCCAGTGACTTAAAAGCCTCCATGCTACGGATGTGATCTCACACAGTACTTCTACCCCCCTCTCTCACGCCCCCACAGGTCTCAAACAGGTTCTTCCTGGGAGGCTGGTGGCAAAGCCTCTTGGGAACAAAGCCACCCGCCCTCAGGAGAACAGCCTATTCTGTGAGTGCGAGGCACAGCTGGCTTCTCACTAAGGCGTCTTTGTGGAGCTTATCAAAATGAAATAAAAAAGAAAGCTTTTGTTTTAATCCCCGCCAGGGTCCTGCTGTTGTTCTGGGAACATGTGGGTGGATGCCACCCGCATGGAGAACACAGATTCGAAGAGGCATTAGGAGCCCTGATGCTGTTCTGGGTCCCACAGCCATCTGTTCTTTTAGGAAGAGGCTACAGACACTCTATGGAGAGAGTTCACCAAGAGGCACAGCAAATCATTTCTGCCTATATGCTGGTACCTGATTTGCAGCAGCAGCAAAACATAGGCTAGGAAAGGATGAGGGTCAGTCTTAAGAGACAGATGCAGTCAGGCATTATAGTGTGGCTACTGCAACCATGGGAATTCAGGGCATTGCCTACTCACCCACTTCCCTAACCCCTTAAACCAGTGTTTCTCAACCTGTGGGTCACGATCCCTTTGGGGGCCTAACAACCCTTCACAGGGGCTGCCTCAGACCATTAGAAACACAGATGTTTTACAATTCAAAAGAGTAGTTATAAAGTAGCAACAAAAATAATCTTATGGTTGGGGGTCACCACAACATAAGGAACTATGTTAAAGGGTCACAGCATTAGGAAAGTTGAGAACCACTGCTTTAAACACACGGTTTAAAAAAAAAAAGCAACAATATTAAAAAGAGCAACAATATTCTCTTTCAACTGGCTATCAAAGATGACTAAACTGACAAGAACTCCTCTGCTAGCCCTCCCAGACTAGGGTGCTGGCTGGAGCCCTACCACAGTTAATGTCCAAAACACCCCGCGGTTTTTGTTCATGACAAGAGTCGATTCTACCCAAAGATGGAGTTCAATATTCCTTCCACTGGCAGTTTTTCAAAGGTTCTGGTCCTTAACTCCTTCTATCTCCTGCCCACTTCTCTACTCAAGAAGTCACAGAAAAAATGGGGCAGAGAAAGTAAGATGTGCGTTGCCTTTCTCCCCTTCCCAGTAAGTCATTCCCCTCAGGAGAGGGATCCTCCCCTGATCAGGGAGAGAAGGCAACTTGAGCCTGAACAGCTTGGCCAGATCAGCCAGAAAAAACGGTGGGGGTGGTGACAGTGGAGGGGAGGAGGGAGAAGCAGAAGAAACAGAGGAAGGATGGGGGGGGGGGGACAAAGGAAAGGGTGGGAGAAGGGAAGGAGGGGGAGGGAAGTCGATTCATATCAGCTGTAGCTACACCACTCAGCCTAGCTATGAAGTCAGAGCCAGCGACCCTCCCCCTCCCCAACCCAGAAGGACCTTGTAAGGGCATGGAGGAAAAGATGGTCCCAGGGCCAACAATCCTAATGGTCTTGATACTTGAATTCTGACGGGTGTGCCCGTCTTTAAAATTTTAGTTACTGTGTACTGCACTCGCGACCCCTCGGTTTCCTTTATTTTTAAAACGGGGATGAGAAAAGTCTCTACTCCTAGAAAGGGGAGCGTGGGAATGCCATGGTGCATCCTTTAGTCTGGTAATCACTGCTACCCAGCTAAGATTTACAAATGGGTCAAAGAGAGAGAAAGAGATCCTGCATTATCTATTTCCTGAAGGGCACGTGAACCACAATAATGACTTAGCAAGTGGGTCGTTTCCCACCCGTCCCAAAAAGGTGAATTCAAGGGTTTTCCCGGGAAGAGATGGCTGGGCATACTAGGAATTACCTCCCCTTCTTCTACTGAAAGAAGGACCCCCCCCCCCAAAAAAAAAAAAAACACGGAGAAGGTATCCATCAGGCCTCGGAAACTGTTCAAATCTAAGGGAACCTTGCAGGGAGCATTTGACCTCCGCCAGGAGAAAAGCTCGCCCAGCTTCAGTTTCCTCGTCTGGGCAGCGGGGACCCTGTAGCCCCTGGGGGGCCGCGCACCGCTCAGGGGGTACCAGACTGCGACTGCCCGAAGCCCCCGCTCGGCCCAGCGGGCCCAGCCAGTCCCTCGGGGCCCGGCCACCGCCCAGGCCTCGGCCGCCGGCCACGCGGCCGCCACGCCCCGACCTCCAGCCACCGCTTCTCCCCCTTCCCCCACCCCCAGTGCCCGGCCCCACCCGACTCACCCGTGTAGTGCACCACGCAGGTCTGGCCGCGCTTCGGGAAGGTGCGCCCTGAGGAGAGACAGACGGCAGGTGAGCGGCTGCGCGTGGCGGCAGGGGAGCGGGCGGCGGGCGTCTACTCACCGTCTCCAGGAGAAATGGTCTCCACCTGCACTCCCATGGCGGCGGCGGCGGCGGCGTTGGCGGAGGAGGAGGAGGAGGAGAAGGACGCGGGCGGCGGTGCGGCGGGTGGCGTGCAGCCGGAGCAGACCTGGCGGCGATTCAGCGGCTCGGCTTCGTCCCACAGCGTGTCGCCTGCGCACGCGCGCGGCAGGGCACGGTACGCCCCGCCCTGCTTGCGCCGGGCGCTCACGTTTCGGAAGCTCCGGCTGCTGGGCGGAGGGACCGGAAGTCCGCGGGCCACCGACCCCGGATGCAGCTGCGGCGGAAGGCTCTCTGCTGCCTGCTGCCGGTTTTCCTCTGCGTTTTTGTGCTTCTGAGAATCGCAGTAATAACGGGTCACTTAGAGATGCTTTACACTAATTGTAAAGCATCCCTGTAAGGACGATAGCTGTGAGTAGGCTTTGTGTATGTGGAACCAAGTTAACGTTCGTAGGTGACCCTAGGTTCCGACACCTTGTTGGAAAAGTCAGTGTTAACACTGCCCTGCATGAAAGCCCCTTTTTGTCCATAAATATACACACACACACATATAATATGGAGATAGAGCCGGGCATGGCTGCGCACGCCTTTAATCCCAGCACTTAGGGCGGAGGCAAGCCTAGTCTGCCTAGTTCCGGGCTAGCCAGGGCTACACAGGCCCTAAAAATAAAAAAGTTCTCACATGTGTATGTGAAGATACATACATATGTATGTATGTCCACTTGAATGCGTGAATCCCCCTCCTCACACAATCTTCCAATGGGGTTCTGTGGGTTTTGTTTGAATACCTCCAATGAACAGATCATGGTGTTTCTCACAGCACTGAAAGCAAACTAGAAAAGGAAGTGAAGTCTTTTCTGCTTTTCCAAATAGATGACCCAGGGCTTAGTAAGACTCCTGACTTCTGCCTGGGGACAACAGAAAAGGGGAAACATGGCAGGCATTTTTTGAGGTTATCTGAGAATGGACGTTAAAGAACCTCGATGCCTTCCATTTGAGAGCCGAAAGTGGGAGTTACATTTCCTGTGAACTCATAGAATTTACTAGCATGGGTCCTTTTCACCTAGGTTCTTTGTTTCTGTCTCAGGAATCTTCATTTCAGGAGTCAGCAATTCCATTTTAAGAGTGCGTTTTCCAAATGTGGTTTCCAGGCCAACAAGATTGCCATGGGTTGAAGAATTTGAGTATGAAATGTTCCCTACATGTTCATATTTTATTTTTTATTTTTATTTTTTTTTTGGTTTTTCGAGACAGGGTTTCTCTGTGGTTTTGGAGCCTGTCCTGGAACTAGCTCTTGTAGACCAGGCTGGTCTCGAACTCACAGAGATCCGCCTGCCTCTGCCTCCCAAGTGCTGGGATTAAAGGCGTGCGCCACCACCGCCCGGCCTTGTTCATATTTTAGGTCGCATTTCCCAGCTGGTGATACTGTTGTCGGAAGCTATGGACTTTTTAGGTTCTAGAGCTTACAGAAGGTCACCAGAAGTGGCCCTTAAAGATTCCATCCAGCCGGGCGGTGATGGTGCACGCCTTTAATCCTAGCACTCGGGAGACAGAGGCAGGCAGATCTCTGTGAGTTAGAGGCCAGCCTGGTCTACAAGAGCTAGTTCCAGGACAGGCACCAAAAACTACAGAGAAACCTTGTCTCGAAAATCAAAAAAAAAAAAAAAAAAGATTCCATCCAGCCCCTGGTTCCTGCTTGGTTCCCTGCTTCCTGGTCCATTGTTATGTGAACAGTCTGTGCCACCTGTTCCTTCTCTGCCCTGGTGATTGAAATCCACTGCTACAGGCTGTGTTAAGCAGCTAAGAAATAAATAAAAACAGACCCTTCTGATGAGACTGGTCCTCTTAGGAAATACTAGAGTGTTCTCTCTCCCCTTCCCTATCCAGTGTGAGGAAACAGCAAGAAGATGGCCAGCAGTCTAGGACCCAGGAGATGGGCCCTCAGCAGTACGCAATTATGCAAGCATTCTGGCCCTAGACTTTCTGTCTTCAGAAATGTGATAGAAATCAATTTCTGCTATTTATGCCATCCAGTTTGGAGGCTTGTGGCTCAGTGGAAACATGCCCATAGCTCAACCCCCAGCTACACAGGGACGACAAAGCTCTCCGTTTCTGGTATTTGGTTACTACAGCCCAAAACTGCCTGAGGCATCCTTTCTGCATCACAGCTGCTTACAGCACACTTGTGCCCCTCCCCGAGACACACACTTTGGTTGGTGCTGAGGACAGAGCTAGTGTGGATAGGGTTAGAAGCCAGAAGTTTCTCCTCCCTCCTCTCCTCCCATTTACTCCTTCTATCACCCCTCTGGGCCCCCTCCCCCCTGCAACCCACTCCTCCTGTTTCTGTTCATAAAGGGGCAGGCCTCCCATGGGTATCGACAAAGCATGGCATATCAAGTTGAGGTAGGAGTAAGCTCTTCCTTTTGTATTAGGCTGAGCAAGGCAACCCAGTATGGGGAATAGGTTCCCAAAAGACAGTTCAAGCTTTAGAGACAGGCCCTGATCCCACTGCTAGGAGTCCCACAAATAGATCAAGCTATACAACTGTCACACATATGCAGAGGGCAGCAACGTGCTTTGATGTGAAAGTGAGCTAATTGTGTGCAGTTAATTTGAGCAAAAAGGGAAAAAACAGGCCTTTAAGTGTCTATAGCCCTTGTTGGACAAATAGATCTAGTTATAAAGCATGTATTCTATATATCAAAATTATGTAGCTAAATGAAAAGTCATCTTCCTGACTACCCACAGATATATGTGCCCATAAAATTGAGATGTAATCATGAGATTACATATACACATCACATGAGATTACACACTACAGTGCAGGTATTGGGGAGACACCAAGCTGCTTTAGCAAAAGTGAACAGCAGTTTCCAGAGCTGATGGTCCTGCAGGCCTTGCTTGGACAGGACTGACCTCCATCAGACAGTCACTCCTCTGCTGGGCTGACATCTGAATTATCAGCTGCCCTATGCTGTATATTTCCACATTTTCCAGCACTCCCCTACACCAGTCATTCATTTCCTACAGGCCAATATGATGGAAGCATTCCTTCTTACCAAGTAACTACTTGTGTCAAATTGACAAAAACCAACTACCACACTCCTTCGTGCTCTTGATTCTGACATGGTGTGTCCACAGCTATGGAAGTCATATGTGCTGGAATGTCCTGGGTCATGCTAACAGGAAATGTTTTTTTCTGGTGTTCCCCTTGGCTCTTTAAATATCAGAAAATTTTGGTTCTGTGTAGCTCTAAATTATATTTCTCAAATGACGTTTAGGGCTGAAGAACAAACCTTAATACCCATGCACTCAGAGGACAGATTGGAAATTGTCTTCATTGTGGCCACAAACAGGGACTCATGGCTCCAAGGGAGTCACAAAGCACTGTGACCACTGTGACCAAGAAACAAGATGAGAAACTCAACTGCCCTCAAAGTCAGGGAGGTCTTCAAGCTCCAACAAGACAAGAGGCAGCTGAGTAGACAACAAGAAGTACAGTGAGGGCTGGGGGAGAATCTGAGTGGTAGAGAGCTTGGCTAATGTGTGGACATAACGATAAATGCTGTGTTTGTGGTTTTAGATGTTTTGCATATGCAAATCCCTAATCCAGAGCCCAAATTCCAAATTTAGTGTGAAAGGAACCAATTCCAGAGAGGCCTTTGTTTTGCTCTTTGGTGGGAATCTTGTAGCCCAGGCTATCCACTACGTAGCAAGAACGACCTTGAAATTATAATCCTGCCTCCATCTCCCAAATGCTGGGATTACAGGCTTGTCTGGCTTTATATTGGTGCTGGTGACCAAATACAGAGCCTCATGCATACAAGGCAAGCAATCTACTAACAGCTCCATTGCCAGCCCATGGCCATGTTATTCTCGACAGTTTCTCGGAAAATACCACGGCGGAGGAGACACATTTGCTTCCTCATGATTCCAACAGAAGCCGTTTGTCCTTTAGCCAACTTCTTAGCACAGGGGAGTTTGTGGTGTGTGAAAGAAACATAAACCCAAAGAGCCTTCATGAAAGTGGGCTGTCTTATCCTTGAGAGTCCAGCGTCTGTGAAGGGGTTGAATCCGTCACAGATCATCTCCTTGCCCTGGACGAGGCTTTGTACAGTAGACCTGAGACTGTGATTTCTCTGAGTTTCACACCCTGGTGCTAGCTAGCCATGTAAGTGGTAGGAACAAGATGTCGGCTTTCTTGTGAGTTCCTGATCCCTAGCATACAATGGTCATGGGGTGAGTTTCAGCGTCTGACGGTGTCTTTGTAGTTCCCTTTGTAAGTTCTTGGGCTGGGCTCTCTCCACTGTCAGTCACCTCCAAAGGTCTGGAGTCATCTTCATTCCAGCTTCTTAGTGGAGAATAGAGCTGAAAGCTCAGACTTTCATTGTTAGGGCTTCCTCTGTTTTCCAGAACTATTCCCTCCCAATGACTGGGAATTAAGGATGTCACACCTAGAAAGTTTGGCAGGGAGGTGGAAGAAAGGACATCATTAATATTTTAAGGCTTCATAACTAAATGGCTGGAAGACAGTTCAATGGGCTGAGTATACTTAATAAGTATACCCATTGTGTGAATACTTGAACACAACAGGTTTATTTCTCTGTCTTAGAGCACTGGGGCCAGTGCGCCATCCCTGCAGGTGGGTGCTACTCAGGGAGCCAGACTGCTTCTGAATGCGTAGTCTTGTGACTTTGGGTTCAAGGACAGAGGAAAAGGGAACTTGGGAGGCTTTCCTGGCCAGGCCTGGCATGACATCAGCTCTTCCATTGGCCAACTAGCCATACTCAACTGCAAGGGAAGCTGGGAGGTGTGCCCAGCAAGGACAGGAGACCAGAGCTGAGTGGTCACGTGGTGGCCTCTGTTGTAGAAGGTGTGTTTAAGAGCCCCCCTCAACTAGACTTTTTTAGGGAACTTCAAGATTGTGTGGACAATCTTCAACTTGAAGCCTTGTTTCCCGAGTCAGAGGCAGTAGCATACAGTGACAGTTGGCCACTACTGTTGACTGCTTGGTTCTGACTCAATATTTACAAAGAAACCTCACAGTTGGCATTCCATCCAGAGTCTTGTGGGACTTGTGGGAGGGAATTTGAGGCAGTGAGCAGGGCTGTTTGATTGGCTAGTCAGGGCTACAAGACACTGCCCTCTTCTCCGGAGCATCCTGCTT